CATAGCAAAAATCCTGTCTAAAAAAAAAATTATAATGAATGAATTATATGAAACTTAACTATAGGCAAGATAATCTTTAGATAAACAGTGTTATACAAGAATAAAGTACAATGTATCACAGGAACCCTAATTACTAATGTATTAATAAGTTATCACTTAATTATTAGAAACCTTTAGGGCTTGGGATGTAGTTTGGCCGTAGAGTGCTTGCTTAGCATGCACAAGGCCCTAAGTTCCATCCCCAGTACTGTGAAATTAAAAACTAAAAACAACAACAACAAAAAACCCCAAAACAGCCACCTTTAAATCCTGAGAACTGCCCCAGTTGTTTTTCTTTCATAAGGGAAATCCTATTAATTCTCAGGTCCAAATAATAATGGTATTTTAATATTCCATTTTTCTTCATGCTAGGATTCCTATTGAATTATAAAAATAGAAAATTTTCATTTTTCAGAAAGACTTACTCATTTTTATCATATACATAATATTTATTTATACATTTATTTTTTGAAAAATATGGAACACTTCACAAATTTGTGTGTCATCCTCGCTCAAGGGCCATGATAATCTCTTTATCGTTCAATTTTAGTATATGTGCTGCTGAAATGAGTACCCTACAGTGATATTTAATGCTGTTCAAAGTTTTAATTATGACAACCAAAAACTTAAGATCAAAGCTTGTAATCTCTCAAAGCAAATCACAACAAATTCAAGGACTTTATTTTCTTCAAAGGAAACTGTCTAAATAAAGGAAGAAATTCTCTATTAAGCTAAGCACAATATTGTTTGCTACTACATAACAACTAACAGGCACATAATAGCTGGGGCTCTAGTAAACAACACAGCATAATTCCATACCACAGTCTTGACTTTGATCTCAGCTAGATGCCTCACCTTGGCAAACCACTTCATTACTATTTAGCTCAGTTTTCTCTTCTGTAAAAGGAGGGATTAGACTACCAGTCTCAACCTTTCACTGATTCAGTAGAAAGCCGATTTTGATTGCAAGAGCATAAAAAAGTATTTGCCATTAAAAAGAAATTTGAAAAGCCAGGTGCAGTGGTCGCGCTTATAATCCCAGCTACCCAAGAGAGGTGGAGGCAGGAGGTCTGTGAGTTCAAGTTCAAGGTCATCCTGGATCCTGGGCAGCATAGCAA